CAGACCTCGTATTGTACGACGAGCCAGATGAAAGCTGTCAAAAGCCCCGAAACCTACAATTATTTTGTTTCAGGTTGGGTCAAACATTTAGGATCTATTCATATTGTCATAATAAAAAAGACTTGTTATATAATCTGGAGGATTTACCCGGTGTTGAGGCGATCGACATAAACTACTTCCTGTTGCTGCAGACCTCGTATTTTACGACGAGCCAGATGAAACCTGTCAAAAGCCCCGAAACCTATCATTATTTTGTTTCAGGTTGGGTCAAACATTTAGGATCGAAAGAAGCTTTAAATGGCTGTCGACCTGTTTCTGCCCGGGTGAGTAGCGACACGTGCTATTTTAAGTAATTAGCCTATGATAACTAGGCTATCACTAATGCTAACAACGAGCTAACCCCTGTTATTTCTATGTGCTTGTAAGTAATTTATTTAGCTTCGGTAAACCCAAATTCAAATAACTATCCAGGAAAATATTTGAAAATATTATTTAAATGAAACGATCCTTATAGAAAGTGGTCACTGCAAACTCTTGCATTGCTCGTTTCCGCACCTCCTGCTTTTAGCCGTAAATTGTCGATCCACTTTTGACGTTTCGTTTCATTAAGTTTTTTTTAATTAGCTCCCTTGTGAACACTACTTTTGGAACACGAAAAAAAACTTTCATATTTCTCATGAAAATTTTAACACTTGTGTAATTTATAATTGTGCGTGTGTACTTTTATTTTGTATTTGTAATTTATAAATATTTGTGTGTACATTTGAGCAAACACTTGCAAATACCCAAAGTTACGCACAAAATATTTTTTACGGGTTACAAATCATGTTTTACACACACACACACACGCACGCACGCACGCACGCACACACACACACACACACACACTTGTTTTTATATCCTTCTGGGGCCCGTCCATTGACTTCCATTCATTTTTTGGTAATTTTATATCCTAACCCTGACCACAAACCCTAAGGCTAACCTCACAGGTACCTACCCGACCCTAAAACTAACCTAAACTCAATTCACAACTTGGTCCTAAACCCAACMCTCATACCCAAAATCAGCCTCTGAGCACCTGGACCCCACGAGGCTGCGTTTTCCTTAAAACTGGGCCCCACGATGTAGGAAAAACAAGGACACACACACACACACAAACTTTATTACGCACACACAAACTTTTTGAGTCTATTTTCTCTCCATATTATTGCCTCTGAACATCTAACACACATTTGCGCCTTTAACATACTCCCAAAACTCATTTTCCACAACTTGATCCCTTAAAGCTCTCTGGACTTTAATCAGTGTCCACACATTGACTTAAACTTATATTTATGCTGCTCACAGATCAAATTGGTCCACAAAGTTCCAACATTCAAGAAAACAAACCAAAATGTAATAAAGTGACAACTTTACACATCACTGTGCAGACAATAGGTTCAACCTGGAAGGCTGAAACCATTGAAATGAAAAAGGACTGCAGCTGTGTCGCGCACAATGATGCTTGTTTTAAGATATGCCTGAAACAAGAGACCAGCTGCCATCTAAAAGTCCTTGATTACAAAGCCAGTTCAAGTGTTTTCTCTTTGGTGGGTCATCCTTTTTATTTTAAAGACCAAATTGTTCAAGCATCATCCATGTCAAGTGGCAGGACCTCGTCACCCAGGCAACAGGAAGGAAGCTATTTTGAGCCACTGGGCTCGATGCCACTCCTGGAGGAGCCGCAGCCTGGTGGTGGCTCGGAGAATGGCAGAATCTGAGAATGTGGTCGCAAAGTGCCCCCACTGCTGCCAACACACACATGTTGGTTTACATTGACAACAGCATCAAATTTAAACTTTTAATTTATTTAGTATCAAATAGGCAGGGGAGAGAGTAAAAAAAGGTGCTACTGAGTAGTTGGCAAAAAAGCTGAAATATAYATGCAGTTAAAATATACAGAAGCTTTTAGGAGAGGGAGGTCTGCTCCAGAGCTGCAAAAACAAGGACTGAGAAGTCCCTGGACTCTTTAAAACCCTGAGTAAACTTTTGTAGACGCAGGTTCTCTCCAAAAGTCAATCAGTCGTAAAAATACAGCTAATAATTACTTTCTGAAGGTCCATCCAGTGGTTCTGAAAGTTTCAATAAAATTGATTCACTGAGATATTTGCTAACATTGTGGACAAATGAACATGGACACATGCAAAAACATTAATGCTCCCCTTTCAGAGGTACAAAACTACTGAACCCAGAAACAAAGAGGATTTTTTTCTTGCTTAATAGCAGTGGAAGAAAACAACAAACACTCTGGAGTCCATGTTCAGCTCAAGGACTCTTCAGCAGGAAACACGAAACATGAGGGTGTGACCTCCCGTCTTCCAGATGATCTCTGCAGCGTTATGAAGACAAACTGGTACTGTCTGTTYACATCTGAGAACTCGTCCTCATTAGCAGCACTCCACAACGTTTCAAGGTTTTCAGACAATTCATCAGAACGTGCACTTTATTTATCAAAACTATACTTTCTCCCTCGTCAGTGTTTTCACATCCGAAAGTACTACAAGTGTACTTAGGTGGTCCATGATTCTTCTTATAATGTCTCAATCTTGATCAGTTGTATTCCAGATACAAATATTTTAACGCATATATTTTTTTTATTTGAACACCCAGTGCCAAAAGGCCGCCATGCTAAGCAACCTTGGCAAACACAAAAATGGCTACAACTCAGCTAATTTTAGATATTGAGCTAAAATTTTATGTGGCAGTGGCTGAGTCGTCCCCAATACATCTTCCAAGTGCTAACTGACTGCACACAGTCTGTTTCCAGAAAGATGCCTTTAACTGCTGGATTTGGAGTCAGCCTGTTTGTGTGCATGAACCACAGGATGGAAAGTTTCAGAGAGATAATCAGAGGACAAAGATCTACAACTAGACCACCACAGCCAACTGAGATTCAAAAATGCAACAGTGGCTATAATTCAGTCAGTTTGGCAGATAGTGAGCTAAAACTTGGTGTGATAATAGATGAGAGTCATCCCCAGCACTCACTGAGCATTGTATTAGATAATCAGTCACCTGTTCTGACTGAAATACCTATAACTCCATTGTTCTCATAATTAGAAGATTTCAGTTTAAAACTCTGGCATGAACGGTGGTGGGTAATCTGCATTAATTCAGGAAAATCTAGGCCTTTATTTCTTGCTGCGTTTTTATCAGAAACTGTTGTAAACTAATGTTCTCACATCATTTGAGGATTCTACCAGTTTGGACCAGTAATTCCTCACTTACTCAAGATGAACCTCTAACTAATTTCATTTTTGCACATTTAGATGCTATAAGAATAATCAAGTTGTTCTGTGATTATCCTCTCTGTGCACATCTCTGCTGCTCTACTGTGAGTTTACTGTGTTTGTGCAGAGCAGAAGAGAGGCAGCTGAATAAGTTTTGCCACCTGCCACCATGAAGCTGAAACCTAGGTTAAACACTGAAATTATGTTTGTGTTGGAATAATGAAGGGAAACTTAATCAGTCAACAGAAAACTTTGGATTTTCTCACTTCCAAAACTTATTATCCGTTCAAATGTCCTTTTTATTTGAACAGATAACAGAAAGTTTAAAAAAATTATGCAGAATGCTGCTTAATGTTATTCAGCCTGACTATCTTCAAGAAAAAAAAGCTGCCAGTTTAGTTTACAGCCAAACCCTTTGGTGAAAATGAGGACTAAACGCTGTCTGACATCTCCTTGTTTGATCATGTTACAATCCCTGCGAGTCAGACTTTCATTCAGGCTGCTGCAATYGACTGATGGAGGACATTCTGCATCGTCACATGAACACACACAGACGTCCCCACGGCATCTGTTTACATTGAGCCGCACCTCCCTAAGGACGCACAAAGTACAAAACAAGAACACAAGGCGAGCAGAAAGGACAGGGAGCTGTGGAGCTGAATGTGAGAAACTGTTATGAGGGATTTTGGAAGGGATGATTCTACGCTTCTGTTTGACAAGAAACTTTTCCCCACCACCACCACAGAACCATAGAGATGTTTAGTGACGTGAGCACAGATGCAATTTGCACACGACTACAAAACATGGAGTAGAGGAAGTTTTTTTAATGAAGCTAGAGGAGATTGCACTTGAAATAGATGCATTATGGGTCAGTAACATGGCTTTATGAACAAAATGTTTCCATTGTACTCACGTGTGCCGTCGAAGCGAGTGGCGATGGTGTCCAGGAAGGTGTTCTGAGGGGCCAGGAGGCCCTTCATCACAGGCATGTTGACCCAGATGTGGGGCAGCCAACAGCTGGCTGGACGTCACACCATCCCAGAAGCGAAGCAGAAACCTTGTTGGACGGATGTCTCAACAGCGGTAGGACATTTTGAGGGAGACAATCCAGCGCTGGATGTAGGAGCACATCTTTGTACCGAACGCAACCAACTTTCCAAAGAGTGATGCCTCTCTGCAGGTCAACGGTGCATCCTGTGAGGAACAATCCAGAGGTTCAGGTTTGGACTTGATGAGTAGAAGTGGAGAAGCAGATGTTCAGTCCAGGTGACATAAACTCCCTCAGCCCAGATGCTGCTTATCTGCAGCTTTCAGTCAAGAAGCCGATCCCAGCAGCTCTGTGGAAGAAGTTATCCTGTAATCCTGCAGTTTTCCATTCATCAGAGGAGCCACAAACATGTTTTACACCTCCAACATCCCTCAGCTCAGTGATCTGTGAGGATGCTGTGGCAGAGTAGTTGCATCTTCTTGAGCTTTCTCGCCCTCCTCGCGACTCTCTCTCTCTCTCTCCCCACCATCCGCTCCTGTGAAACACCAACCAATGAGACGCTGGTATCCTCTGTGGGGACCTGTTCTCATCTGAGCTGGGGGTATAGAGACAGAGYGAGACGAGGGAGGGAGAGGTGCACGAAAAGGAGGCGGGAGGCTTCTCTTTTGGAGCCTCTGACAGCACCATTACACCCCACAGTGCTACTATCAGCCGGCGGCTTTTGTGTGCTGGTCTGCGAATCAAGGAAAGATGGATTACCTCCATGTCGCTCAGTGAAAGCTTTTGTAGCAAGTTGGGCTGTGAGCCTTTGTGGCATTTTGCCACGGGAGTCTGGCTCAAGGGACATTGTCAGCACGGGTTAATTGGGGAACTGATTTGTTTTTGTTTTCTTACGTGCCTGTGCTGTGACAAAGTTAAACCAAAGAAATTGCAGTTTCTGTGAAAAATGCGGTGTTAAAGCTGAGTATGAATGACTGCCTATATTTGCTGAAGAAGCTGAAACTGAGTTGCTAAAATAAAAAGGAGCAGAACTCTAAAAGCTAAAAGAGTGGGGTCTAGTCTTATTCAAGGGGCCGCTATCCTGAATGTTGTGCATGTCTTCCTGGTTGGACACACCTGATTTGAATTAATGAGTATTATCAGACTTCAACCTGTTAAAGACCTGAGAAACCTCTGAAACATGCAGGATAGTGGCCCTCGGGAACAAGAACTGGACACAACTGAGCTAAAAGAAGCGGACTACTAACTAAAAAGGAGCAAAAACTTTAAAAAAAGGCTAAAATGTTTGTTAATGACTAATGTGAAAAGCATAATGCTAAATGTAGCAAAAGGCTGGCTAACTTAAAATAGCAAATCACTAGCTAAATGCTGCTAATTAGTAAAAGGCTAACCAAATGTTAAAAGTAGGAAAATATTACCTAAAAGCTAGATAGTAAAACTCCAGTAGGTAAAAAGCCAACCTAAAGTCAAATGAACGAAAATGAACTGAAAGCTAGAATTAACAAGACATAAGTTTAAAGGTAAAAGTAGAAAAAGTTTGGTTGAAAGACAAAGGTAGCAACAAGCTAGCTAAAACATTAAAGTAACAGATAAATGGCTGAAAGTAGCTAAAGGCTAGCTAAAAGCTAAAATATCAAAGCACTAGCTAAACGCTGTAAATACCTAAGGGCTAAACAAAACTTAAAAGTAGCTACATGTGACCTAGAAAAAGGAAAGGAAAAAGCCAAGGCTGAAGGCTAAACAGAAATTAACATAAATCTAACAAGACATTAATTAAAAGACAAAAGTAGCTAAAAGCTAGCTAAAAATTAAGGCAATACTGTCCAGGGTAAAAGCTTGAAAATGCAGCATTGCATTTGCATTACAGTTTCAATAAATAACACAAACAACTAACACTTAACGTGGCAACGCTCTACTTATAAAACTCAAGAGATCACAGAGGAGAACCAGACATGGTGTAAAACACACAATGAAGAACTGGGGAGTGAATGAAGACTGAGGGAACTGAACTGGGTCTGATGAGGAGACGGGAGGCAGCTGAGTCTGATGAGACAGAGAACAGGTGTGAGAGGGCGTGGCAGGACTAACGAGCTGGAGCTGAACTGAAGAAAATTACTGGTAAAAATGAGCTGATGGCAACAGGAAAACTCTGAGGAACCCAGAAAATAAACCAAAAAAGGAATAAACCTAAAAAATGTAAATAAAAAAACTACCATAAAATGTATAATAGTTTAAAAAAAAGCCATAGCATCCAACTCTTCAATGCTGTGAACATTCTGATAAATGAATAGCTAAAACCACACATTGTGTGAAAGTAGACAGATTGCAAAAAAAATAAATTACAGAATATTTAAAAAATAATGTGAAAACGACTGAAATAGAATTCACACACTGAGTCCTAAACCTCCCAACTTCTACATGTCAGTGTCGTTCCGKGTCCTGATGGGAGAATTAAAGCTCGGGGATAAAATCTGTGGGTTTAAAAGATAAGCCTGAAAAAGTTTTTATGAGGACTTAATGCACCAAACATCACTTTAACACATCACTAGACAGTGTTGATGCTCAACGGTAACACCATCATTTTACTTTTAGATCCTATGATGAAAAGCCCTCATTAAAGTTGATGTTATGAAAGAAAGATGACCCCAACCGATAGGTCGATTAATGTAATTGTCATTAAATATTAAATATGACGAGCAGCAGGAAGAAACCTGATAATTAGGGGTTATTTGCTGTGACACTGAGCTACAAAACCCAGCTGGTTTGTCAAACAAAGCAATGACAAAAGAGAAAACAAAAAGATTTCAGAAAACAGAAAGCAATAAAAAATAAGTAGTAGCTCATTACAGCATCTACTCTTTTTCCATCCTGTTTTATTTAGTTATATTCAAAATGTTAGATGTGCCAAACTTAAAGTAAAATGTCACCATTTTTCCAGGGCTTAGGGCAAGATGAATTATAAAAAGCACCAGAGAGAGTTTTGCAGTAAACGATAAAATATTTATAGTATAAGTCCAGATCAGAAACACTTCTGGCGCAGAGATGTCTTGTTTTTTTGGGGGGTTTTCTGTGATTTAAGAGGAGCCTGGAGTTGAAATAAAACAGAAAATGATGAAGAGATTTGCTAAGAATTTAAATGAATGCRTCAATAAATTCTGTTCACCAGGACTAGGACCAGGTTTCGGGACTCAAATAACTTGTTCCTGATCCAGACTGACTGAAGTCAAAAAGGCTTTTATGAATGAGGCCTAAACGTTAAAACAAAATATGAACCCTAAAACGTAATTGGTGAAGCAATCAAATATAAACTTCTGAGGAGTTATGTCTAATCAACATCCTATCCTCTTCTAATAAATCAATCTTTTCAACTTGTATTTATTAAAATAAAAAGTGAAAGTAAAAATTCATCCTGCCGTCTGAGTGTCTTCCCCCCCTTCAGGGATCAGATTCAGGCCTTGGCCGACGTCCACTTGCTTTCCATTTTTAATGACCTCTCATTGTCTCGTCTTCTTGTAGTTCGTCTGTCTCCGCTTGTCTCCAACAAAGAGACTTATCCATTAAACATGCTCACTATCAGCTCTGCAGTCTAATCTGACTGAGTGATGCATAAAGAGCCAGGTGAAAGGAAACCCCCCTTCGACTACATTGCCCAGAATCCCCAGTACTTTGTAAAACACCACTTTTTCAATGAAAATCGGCTTCGCTAATCCTGCGAGATAAAGAGGCTCCGGGGCTGATTTAATTCACTCAGCACACCCAGTCCCTTCTGTTAAACACGTGTTGCTGTCCTCAGCTAACTCAATGAGGAGTCAGGCCGGTTCCATTCAGCAGATGTGTGCTCATGTGTTCAAAGTGTTACTGTAACGGTAAATCCTCCAGGATAGTAAAGAAGACAGGATTTTAAAAAAAAGGCAAATGCTTTTTACATCCAGTAATTACTTTCTGAAACTTTTCAATAAATTCCTCCAGTGGTTCAAAAATATTTTAACATGAACACAGTTAAAAACATTTTTTTACCCTTTGGCAGGAGCTGAGGCATTATTTTTCACTTTGCTGTTGCCAGAGTTTGTAATATTTTTTGTCTCACTGTCACTACTCATCACTTGCAGCGAAAGCACTGACTGACACTCACACAGTACGCAGTTATTACATTATGGAGCAGAAATAAAGTGAGAACAATGTCAAATCTGGGCTGAAATAGGACGTTACTAAAAATATCAGCCCACTTTGTGAACAGAAAGTCTAGCCGGCCAGGCCTGTCAGGAAACAGCAGCTAACAGAGAGCAGGTTCTGCCATTTTTTTACCCTTCGGTTTCAAATGTTTAGGTTTTTAAATCTATCCTTTTAAATCACTTATTTCTGGATTTACTTAACCCTGTGCATTCTTGTCCACAGGTAGTGTTGATGGACTGCAGCGACGAGACATTTAACCAGATGAAGGCGCTAATTGTTAAAAGGATGCCCAAGATTGGACGGTTTGAACAATCAAACACTTAAAAATTCATCTCCAGTAAACAGCAGATTTAACAGCTGCTGCTCAAGTCAACCAGCACCTCCCAGTGGTGACACCGAACAGAAACGATACCTGAATTTATCAGAATGGTCCTTTCTGAATAAGACGTGTTACGCTGCAGTCTAAAACAATTTATTATTTAAGTATTCATATTACAAAATGCTGATGTAATCAGAAGACAGCTTGGGTTTCATAAGACTAAAACTAGTTTATATCCAGGAACATTAGGCAACAACATAAGGTATCAACTTAAAGTGTAATATTATAAAAATAAATAGCAATTTTAATACTTACCAAGCTTAAACAACATCTTTGCACAATATTGTCTTTTCTGTATGTTGGTTTTTGTTTCTCTTTAGCTGCTTTAAACATCCAAACAGAAACACTTTCCTATAATTAATCACTTAAAAAGCAACAAAACAATTGTTTGAAAAACAATGTAAACTTACTTTTCATTCAGATTTTCTTTTAAAGGGGTAATATTATGTGTTTCTCAGGCATATATTTAAATTCTATACCATAATAAAGTAACTATGTCACCTTCAGTTGTTATTAAAATGTTGTTTATTTGTTTAAAAAGATAACCTTGACTTCTCATCATATCTGTTTCTAAACGCCTTGAAATTGGCCTCTGTCTCTTTAAGAACCTCCTTCCGCTTCTGTCTCGCCTATTTCAGCACAGGGCCTGGTGGGTGTGTGCGCTCTGTGATGAAGAAGCTCAGCTTGGAGACACAGCCCAGAGGAGGAGCTGATCCTAAAGGTGGTTCTAGTCCCAACTGGTCGTTTTTGCTCCCCTGCCTGGCTGCCTCAGGACACTGCAGGATTTCTCAAACATGCATGAATGAGTCAAAGCAAGACTCTGAGCATGTTTTTGATGAGAGGATAACATTATAACATGATATAAAGCTCAAAAAAGTAGATTTTACATGATATTGCAGCTTTACGATTTCTCCATATCTGAAACAGCTTTAGTTGTTAAAGTTGTTATCACCTTCCAAAGGCACCAATGTTAAATACTTCAGATCTAAAATTCAGTCACTGCTCAAAGATCAGTTCATGACTTCGTCCCGTCTTGTTTCAGGAGATWGTTTTTCCCAGCAGGAAGTGTGCGTACTCTTTCCTGCGCAGCACACGGTGCATTTTGAAGGTGTTGGGCGAGGTGCTCGTGTAGGCCATCATCTGATGACGAAGCTCCCTGAAAGCGCCTCCTGCCACCAGCTGCACCCTCATCGGCCCAATGCTGCCTTTTGTACGGAACGACTTGTAGACGGCAGATTCCTGCTGGAGACAAATGTCCAACTGGAGGGAAGGAGAGGAAACAAATTAAAGATTTTAGGAGAAATGGCAAAAAAAACACACAGAGCATCAGGATTATTCTGACCTTATATCGCTGCTCCTCTGTTAGATTCCTCACTSCTTTCAACTCTACAAACACCTGGTAATGAGGGTCTGAGACGCCGATTGTGTCTCCTGCAAGTCAAGCATATTTAAAGTGCCTGTCACGTCAAATTTTTGTAAGAAACGTGAATGCGTTTTTGGAAAGAGAACATTGATAACATATTGCAAAACAAATTTCACGCCGTTGAGATGAACAGTTGTTGAGAAATTTGCGTGTGAAGAAACAGGAAGTGATGTCAAAGGGGAATGTCTGCATGTAAACAGAGCGATGCAACAATAATTAGAGAAGAATCTTACGTTTCTTTCGATTATTTTGAGTCACCAGAGATGAAGAGTTTTTTCAAAAAACAATGACTAGAGTTTTTTTAAAGAGTTCCCCTTTGATGTCACTTCCTGTTTCACTTTGCTGAGCCAAATTCAGAGAAAATATGCCAGTTATGAGACAAAACGAGTAAAATCATGTGTATTGTGCTAATTTTTTTTAAAATATAAAAATGTTTTCTTTGACTTTTTGTATTTGAAGGATAAGCATGTCGCAGGCCCTTTAAAAAGCAGTTTAACATAACAGATCTTTTAAAAATGATGTAATGTATACAGCTGAGGTGTTTTACCCAAGATGCCGCTCTCAGCACAGGAGTAGTCAACAAGCTGAGCTCCTGGCCACTGAGCAACAGCTTTCTTCAAGGCACCGAGGAACAACGCCTCAGACACTTTCTCTCCCCGAACGTTCAGCATCTGACCCCGTCTGGTAAAGGAAACACACACACACACACACACACACACACACACACACACACACTGAGTAATTATGTTTCAAACCACACAAGATACTAGTCTTCGTCTGCAGCTCTACCTGTACTGAAACTCCACGATGGGGCAACGGTTGTGGAACCCGACAACTCTCACGATGTCTCCAATACGATATCTGTAACGTTAGATCCGAGTGTCACCTGCAGCYGTTCAACACACCTAACACTCATAAGTACGTTTTCCATTGTAACAGACCATAACACTGTCTGATGAGCTCTGTGGGCAAAAGCATGATTGGCTGTGACGTGCAGCTCGTTTTGGCTCGAGTGCAGTCGAATGAAACCACATCTCAGCCCCAGTTATGGCTGCAGAGCAATTATGGAGCACAATTTCTCTGAGTAGGCAGACCTCTATTTCATTTGAAATAACTATTTATATCAAATGGAAAAACCCTCTGACCACTGAGGCCACAAAGGAGRTAAAAATGGGGTTTGAACAAGAAAATTTTCAATACATTCTCAAAAAAAAAGCTAATGGAAGCAATTACTAAATAGTCAGGAAAAAAATGTATAAAGACGCATCAATACAACCAAATAAGACATAAATACTTGTTGGACCATAAATAGAATCAGACCTGAAAAGTCCTGCGGCGTTCGTGACGACAAGCTCATAACTCTCTCCCTCCTTCACCTCCTCCATCAGCAGGGTTTGTGGCGTCTCCTCGTCCAGGCYGCTCTCTGGCAGGAACTCACAGAACATGGACCGCGGACACAGCAGGTACCGTCTGTTTGGCTCCTGAGGCCACAGGTTCACTCCTATCAGACCTGCAGAGCCCCCAAAGACACAATGAAAACCAAACATCAATCTGACAGGATGGYTGGCAGTTTTGGGMTTTGCCACTTTGTGTGGTRTCTGTATTCCTACCTTCWGTCGCAGCATAAAAGGGTGAGTAGAAAGGCACTCCTTTGCAGTAATTCTCCCTCAACATTTCGCCGTAGATCTGATTGGAGCCCGAGTCCACCGCCAGCACCAGGTGGAGATGAGGCCACAGGYGCTTGGCGATCCCCCTGAAACCCTCTTGGAAGTGGGCCCGGAGCTGCGCGGCCCTCTCCGGGTCCGGTTTCATCAGAGCTTCGAGTCTGGTCCTCAGCTTGGGCTCGAGAGACAAGGCCACGCTGATTTTTCCTCGCTCAACGTCCTCCACCAGCTCCTGCCAGCGCTCCTGTGGTATTTTAAATGAAATGAAAAATCTAAATGTTGTCTTTTTCTAAATAAAACGCATCAAAAACATTTCAGCTCACAGGTAATTACACTCAATGAGACAAAACAACGTATTTAAAGGGAAAAATTACTAAATTAACTAGAGCTGCTTACTGAAAATTAGACTTTTTTGAAAACATAATTAACATAAAAATGTTTATAAATTTATCAAAACAACTTTTGAGTGTATATTACAAATATTACAATAACAACTATCACATTTGTGCTTTATTCTTTTAGTAACTTACATTTCACGCCTCAGTGAGCATTAAAAAACTGCTACAGAAGCAAAAGTAACCCAATTTTTCTTTTGACATTCAAGCACCTGTAGGGCTGTGAAAGCGTAGAAAACTGTAGAAGCAAAGTTGGACTCCAGAGTTCCCACGCTCGGATCTTTGAGCGCAAACAGGAGGTGCAGGTACAAGGTGTMCTTCTCACTGGGAACCTGAGGGAACAAAGAAAACAAAATAAGATCACATGCGAACAGAGGCTGGTAAAAGCACTCGGAGGACTTGTTGAGCGGACCTCAAAGGCCAGAGCTGGAGTCGTGTAGAGGTCGAGCGTAYGGCGGGACGAGGCTGGCGTGGAAGAGTTYGGTCYGATGGGGATYCCYGCCTCGGATCGGCGAAACGTGGGATTGTAGAAGAACTTGACGGTGCGCTGGAGGCCGTCCATCTCAGGGAAAGCCTGTCGCATGGCGTCTAAACAAACGGTCACCCCCTGATGGGAGGAACATTTGTTCTTTACGCTGACCCTGCACTGAGCGTGAAATCTGTCACCAGTGTTTGCCTCGCCTGCGTGAAGAACTCGGCGTTGGTGTCCTTGGTGCTGAGCAGCATGGCGCTGGGTCCCGACGTCCCAGAAGTCATAGCCAGAATCAGCGGCTTCTCCGCGATAATTACCTTCTCTTCTCCGGTTGCGACCCGCCTGATGAGCTCTGCGTAGTGCCCGTATGAGGAGAGGGGGTGACGAGCTCGAAAATCAGCAGCATCTGATACAGTAAATAAAGATTTTTTTCTATCAAAACTTCACTCCAATAATGTGAGTTAGTGGGTTAATAGAAAGTAAAACCTCAAYCCCAAGTATCACCTTGTAATAACATAATTACAGCCCTCACAAGTCTTTCTCCTTACCTTGAATAGAGCTGAAGTCGTACTCTCTTCCATAACACGTCCCTGCGTTTTTACGCAGCCGCTTCAGCAAAGTCTCCTGCTGAACTTGCTTCACCTTCAGCGTGTCCGCTTCAAGTTTCCTCCTCTGCCGCCTTCCCAACCAGCCCACAACCTTCACGGCTGCATACTGACTCAACAGACTGCTCACCGACCGATTTTTACCCTTCACTCTTGAGTTTATGTCTCTCCAAATCAGCGCCATCCCGGATAACGCCAGGACGCAGACCGCCGTGGGCAGAGGGGGCGGCATCGCTAGAAAAAAAGGGTTACACAAGAATTATRGGTCAGGTGGGGGCGCTGTTGCTTTAAGTTGTTCCGTAATCGGTTTCAAGTCGAGGCAAATCGCTTTAGATTCCCTTCGACTACACTTTAAAGCGCTYTTACATCATTTATGAACAATTGTCTTTAGGCTACTCACCCGGAAGTTGTCTGTTGATAGCAATAGCTACAGATAAAACCGCAAAACAAAGCGGCACTATCACGCGAACCCACGGAAAACCCATTTATGGCAAACAATATATGACGTAACGTTTCTATGTTGTTCACACTTTAAAGCCAGAATAATATTTATTTCGCATGCTTTTTGTCGAAATGGAAAGCTTTCACTTCAACTTTGGCAGCCGTCTGAGCTGTTTCCGTGTTTRGGTGCTGGTTCGCCATCCTGATTGGTCAACTTCTTGATGACGTAGGCCAATCTGTTTCGCTGAAAAAAAAATTGCAAATGTCCAAAAACTGTATCCAATTCCATCTAAATCATGGATCTTTTTATTTATTAATTTATTTTACTTAACATATGCTCAYACAAATATCAGAAATCTATCATTATTTTTGCAATAGCCTGGCTGGCATAAATGATGTCATTACTTTGGACAGCCACTGTAAAAATGTGTGTCAGACAATACTGATAACCCAGTCTGATGTTTCAATTACACTGAGAAGTTTGTTAGTCATAGGTTATTGTATATGTGCAGTTTTCTCAGTCCAGGCAGTATTTAAATAAAATGAACTTTCAAAAGGTGGAATAGCACAAAAGATGAATTAGACAATATTCATGCACATTTTTAAGGACWGAATCCCTTTGTACATTCTATTACAGAATACGTCAACATTCATTATTATAGTATGAATAATTTCTACTATAAAAAAGTTTTAAAAAAGAAGGTATTTTCCTTGTTATGCGCAGCGGTACATACACATGATATAGAACATACATCACAGCTTTACCCTAAATTTTACATTTTCAATCTTTATTTTTTATATAAGGTTTGGTAACATTCATTGTAGGTTTGATAACTTTGTACTGGATGTATTTTATATTTATTTCATATATTCAGGAAATAATAGACAAACATCAGGTGTGTTTTTTTTTATCCCGAGCTGCAGAACGTGATGAATCTCGTCTCTGGCTRTTAATTAAGCCTCTGATGCTCCTTCACCCGCTCTCCTCCACAGAACCTGAACACCACAGGAAACAGATGGGTACCWTTAAGGGTTAAACCAAATTCTCAAACAGTAAGAGCTGTTTTTTTTATRCTCACCTGTTTCATTTCCATGGTGACAGCTGATAACAGAAGAAGACGTTAATTCTAATGCTGAACAAAAACTAAAGCACACATCATTAAATGTTTGTGCTGGATGAGGATTTTTTTTTTTGAACGAACCTGCCCAGTAGGAGGAAGGTAACACTAAGGGCCCGTCCACAGACACACCRTGGAGCATCTCAGCCAGCCAGGACACCTCAGCTGGGTTATCAACAAAAACCTCTTCTGTTTCATCCACCCACCGCTCAGCCTCTGCCAACACAGTAAACACACTCCACTCACAACTTTACAGCTGGAAACKGTTGTGAATTTAACTTTATCTTTTTAGCCGACCTGAYGATGAGCCCTCCTCCTYCTCTTCAGTCCAGACTGTTTCCACCTCAGCGCTGCAGTCAGACATGGAGGAAGTGAGGTAAGAGCAGCTGAGCCTCTGTCTTAACCCGGTCATGTCACATATGTAGGCCTCTTTGTGGAAGCGAGGGGCTGATGAGACACGAGAAAAGACAAAAAATTTGAAGTGACTCACGGAGGAACTAACCAACGTGTTTGATGATGGAGATGTGTCTGAGGYGGCTGACCCTGCATGTCTTCCAGCTGTTGGACGCATCCAGCTGCATCCCTGGTGCTGATGTGGAACTGGTGGCTGGTCTTCAGGTGCCTCAGGATGTGTTCAGAGTGGAAAGCAGAATGAGTGTAGTAGACCAGCTTTGGGAGGCCCAGAGAACCGACAGCAGCCATTTCAAACCTGCTGCCCTGGAAAGCAGGAAAAAGTTTTTTTAGCACAAGATATTCCTGTAAGCAGACCAGTTTAAAACCTTAAAAAAAACCAACCTGGAAAGTTAGATTGTCGATTTCAGTCCAGGACAAATCAAACAAGGCACAATGCTTTCCTTCCACATCCTTTGGGAAAACAACAATACATAAATAAATAAATAAAAATAAAGATAAAATATTCATAGAAATATTCAAAACCAATCCAATACACTGAAAAGGAAATGTTTATGTTCTTCTACAAGTCATTTCCTCCAATGATTTATTTTGTTCGTGCAAAAATAAACTCATCAGTATTTAATAGCGCAAAAGGAGATGAAGCACCTGATAAACATGGACTCCTGTTCCTGCTACACCAAAAAGAACTGAACTTCTCTTCTCCTTTTTGTCCTGCACATAAAACATCAACATGAGGAGGTTRAAGTAGACATATCATGCTTGTAAATTCTTCTTTTTCACATTTAAATCATTCAGTTAGGGGGGTTATATAAAAGGAAACTGCAATACTTTGGTTTGAATTCCTCTTTATAAMTCCACAAGCCCCTCTTTTCTAAGACGTGTCTCAGATCAACTCGCTTTGAGGCTGTCTCTTTAAATCCAAATGATGTGCTTTTTGTCCCGCCCCCACTCCAGCTTCCAGAACAGTCCATTCTAGTTTAACAGAGGGGTTTTACCATTATATAGAGGCGCAGAAACATTTTATTTACAAATTGATTAAAATATGTCAACAAGGGAAGACTTGTTCATCCAGCCTTACATGTTGGAGCCAGAGTGAGAAGRGATTGAAGATGACCAAATTTCTACTTTAGTCCTTCATAGATACAAAGTCTTACTGATTTTGTTTCACTTATGTAAACTCAGAGTCAGACCTGTCTCATCCTGTAGAAGGTCACGGCTCCGYCCTGCAGCCTGCTGGACTCTTTTATAAAATGAAGGACAGCTTGGCTCTGGGACAAACCTCTCAGCTCGCTGTGCAACATGGGAGTGTGCCGGAGGAGGTAGTTTCTGCCTCTGCGCTTTATCAGCTGACACACACACACACACACACACACACACACACACACACACACACACACA